GCCCTTTGCAACGCTGCCTCCCGGACTAGTCGTGGAAGATCAAGAAATTTTGGAGCCATTTGAGATATCTTTCGCAACTGGGTTGAAAAAAAAATAGTAGGTATATTAACTAAGACAGCATTATTAGCATTCCTGAGAAACCTATCAATCCTACTGAAACTCCGATAGAGAAAGTACATAACACCGGATACAGAACATACATAAAATTTGAATCAATTAACGCTCTCAATCAGAACGACGCCTTGGCTTATCTACGCTTCAATCGTCTATACATATAAAAGGGCCCCATACACTACGATGAAACACGACGGTTTTCACCGCCACGGTGAAACACGTCGTTCTAAAACCGAAGTGTGTAATAGAAAAACACGACGGTTTTCTACAGGGCCCCACAGACTACGATGAAACACGACGGTTTTCATCGCCACGAGGAAACACGTCGTTCCAAAACCGAAGTGTGTGGTAGAAAACCGTTCGTGTGTACGAAATGTTGAACCGTCGTGCCAAAAATCAAGCTCGGACTGAATTTTAAACCGACGATGAAACACGACGGTTTTCTACCACACACTTCGGTTTTGGAACGACGTGTTTCCTCGTGGCGATGAAAACCGTCGTGTTTCATCGTAGTCTGTGGGGCCCTGTAGAAAACCGTCGTGTTTTTCTATTAAGGGCCCCATACACTACGGTGAAACACGACGGTTTTCACCGCCACGATGAAACACGTCGTTCTAAAACCGAAGTGTGTAATAGAAAAACACGAGGGTTTTCTACAGGGCCCCACAGACTACGATGAAACACGACGATTTTCATCGCCACGAGGAAACACGTCGTTCCAAAACCGAAGTGTGTGGTAGAAAACCGTTCGTGTGTACGAAATGTTGAACCGTCGTGCCAAAAATCAAGCTCGGATTGAATTTTAAACCGACGATGAAACACGACGGTTTTCTACCACACACTTCGGTTTTGGAACGACGTGTTTCCTCGTGGCGATAAAAACCGTCGTGTTTCATCGTAGTCTGTGGGGCCCTGTAGAAAACCGTCGTGTTTTTCTATAGGGCCCCATACACTACGATGAAAAACGACGGTTTTCACCGCCACGATGAAACACGTCGTTCTAAAACCGAAGTGTGTAATAGAAAAACACGACGGTTTTCTACAGGGCCCCATACACTACGAAGAAACACGACGGTTTTCACCGCCACGATGAAACACGTCGTTCTAAAACCGAAGTGTGTAATAGAAAAACACGAGGGTTTTCTACAGGGCCCCACAGACTACGATGAAACACGACGATTTTCATCGCCACGAGGAAACACGTCGTTCCAAAACCGAAGTGTGTGGTAGAAAACCGTTCGTGTGTACGAAATGTTGAACCGTCGTGCCAAAAATCAAGCTCGGATTGAATTTTAAACCGACGATGAAACACGACGGTTTTCTACCACACACTTCGGTTTTGGAACGACGTGTTTCCTCGTGGCGATAAAAACCGTCGTGTTTCATCGTAGTCTGTGGGGCCCTGTAGAAAACCGTCGTGTTTTTCTATAGGGCCCCATACACTACGATGAAAAACGACGGTTTTCACCGCCACGATGAAACACGTCGTTCTAAAACCGAAGTGTGTAATAGAAAAACACGACGGTTTTCTACAGGGCCCCATACACTACGAAGAAACACGACGGTTTTCACCGCCACGATGAAACACGTCGTTCCAAAACCGAAGTGTGTGGTAGAAAACCGTTCGTGTGTACGAAATGTTGAACCGTCGTGCCAAAAATCAAGCTCGGACTGAATTTTAAACCGACGATGAAACACGACAGTTTTCTACCACACACTTCGGTTTTGGAACGACGTGTTTCATCGTGGCGATGAATTCCGTCGTGTTTTATCGTAGTGTGTGGGGCCCTGTAGAAAACCGTCGTGTTTTTCTATTACACACTTCGGTTTTAGAACGACGTGTTTCATCGTGGCGGTGAAAACCGTCGTGTTTCATCGTAGTGTATGGGGCCCTTATTACACACTTCGGTTTTAGAACGACGTGTTTCACCGTGGCGGTGAAAACCGTCGTGTTTCATCGTAATGTATGGGGCCCTTTTTAGATGATAAAGAGGCGTAGGTATCCAGATAATGTGCACCATTTTTTACAAATATATTTATTTTTTATTCATTTACGGCAAGGCCAATTTACAATAAAAATAATAAAAAAACAATTTAAAATAAATAAAGTTGCGTGATAGAAATCGGCCCACTGCTAACTTTTGACTTCAATTATTTTTTTTTAAAAACTATTCATGAGAAAAAAAAAAGAAATATGCCATTTGAAAAACAATTCAATATCATCTAATATGAGTTGAAATTATGTATTATAATAATAATCCTATGAATAGTTTCTAAAAAAAGTTAGCCGTGCCAAAACACTTGTTTCCAAAAAAAATCCCAAATTCTCAAGGAATCAAGGAATTCGATGATAAGCACAGTTATTCAACGTAATTCACAAGCATAAAACTATACTGGTGACTTCTAACACTGATTTTCACATTAATTGTGGATATGAGCCACTCAAAACTACTCTTGAAGACCACTCAATGTCCATCGTGGTCGGCCAATCGATGCAGCTATACGTGCATAGGCTGTTGAAGTCGATTTAACTGCACGATCTCTGAAGGTCCTACAAGATACTTTTGATGCTCTACCCAGTTATACCTGAAACCTAGGCTAAGATATCAACAAGGGCAAAACTATCTGATTGTAGCATCGTCAGATCAACAGCAAAGATATATTTTCCGGAATTTTCCCATCGACAATCAAAAATTGAATATCAGCCAAAGGTATAATCACTTGACATCACAAGTGAACTTGACAAAGTAAAACTAAATGGGTCAAGTTACGCATCCTTCTTGCAAATTCGTGAAGTTTTGGCTTCAGAAACAACTATGTCCGACAATACGAGAAAAGTCCTACTATGCAAAACTTTTATTCTACCTATGGTTCACCAACGTGGACAATTTGAAAGCCAGGATGCTAGTATTCTACTCAAATTCGAGAGGAGGAAGCGACTTTCAAATAAGAGCAGGAAGAACAAATGTGGAGAGCAAAGATATAACCACGAACTCCAGGAATTCTATAACTGGTGGCATGGAAGTACCCAGTACCACGAAAACACTAAAACACGGATATGTGTCAAACAAGTTGTTAACTCAAATCCATTTGGCAAATAAGGAAGCGCAAAACATCTCTGGGAACACATCATGACAGTAGACTTGAAGAAGATGAGCTTGTCAAACTGGAGAGTCGTCGCCCAAAATTGAGACTTTGGAAGCTTTTACAGCGCTCACCGTCTCTCTGTTTCTGTCCCCCAAACTCAGCTTTCAGATAGCCACATCAGCATCCTTCAGTTGTCTTGGAGCCATACACTGACAAATACCCCCATTTCATTAGGTCTTCTAGGTGTCTTTTTTTTCTCAAACAAATTTCCTTCGACAAGGCCATCCATTATCTTTCATCCATGTCAGATGTCAAAACCATGTCCTTTTCGATTATCTTCCTCAGGTCTGCTGCTGTATCATTTGCATCCATTTGGCACCCTATATCATATCCTTATTTCCAATAATTCTCTCTCTTCTGGGAGCTACTGCACTGCATCTCAGAGAATCTATCTAGCTAGCAGTATTTGTTTTATTAGCTATCGGCGTGAATCAGATTTCACATGTATAACACAAAACTGATTCAACCAGTGGTTCTAGTCTCTTGTGGGTTTTTGTTTTGTGAGACCTGCCTGTCCTAATCACGTATTTATAGCGCTAAATGCAAAATTTATTTTCTTGTTAATCAAGAATATTTCCATCTATCGTCGATGCCGTGTTTTAAACCTGTTTATTGTTAATCATTAGTGAGGGCCAACGAGCTGAGGTACTGATAATTAAAATATTGTACTTAAAATAAAATATTCAGTACAATTATTGATACTTTAAGTAGTTTTATGTGGAGCTTACTCACGGAAAAATATTCAATACAATTTCGAAAAAGTACTTGGACTGGTAGGTGCTTAAATTTTTCAATTTGTTTCGAGTAGTACTTAATACTCAAAAATGTACTGAAAATTTGAATCTATTTAGGTAAGTAGGTAGTTTTCAAAAGTATTTAAACTATTTTAGGTACCTATTTATTATTCAATATTTTACTTTAAATATGTACTCTAAGTAAGTATCTATTTGGTATAGTTTAAGTATTTTCAAGGAAATGATGCGCATATCGCAGAGAAAACAGGTGCTGGTTGAATCCTTTCTAGCTTGTTAGAACTAGTGAAATAATTCACCTAGTTTTTACCTTGTAGGTATTCTTTGCGTAAATTATTTATGTCAATATTAATTCATTTATTTTTATTGATTCAGATAGCTATGTTTTTCACGTTGTAATAAAATAAAAACTCTAGGTACATAAAGTATGTTTAAATACTTCAAGTAGGTACACAAAAATACTGTGAATACTGTATAAGTATATTGTAAATATACTTAATACTTCAAGTACATTTGCTGAGTACTTAACTCAGCTCTGGAGAGTCCTAAATTTTAGACCGGCTTTTGAGCTAACCACAAGAAACTTGGTCTTGTTGGAGTCAATTTTCAATGCGAATACCAAAATACCAAGTCATAAGAAACTTGTGGGTGAAACTGATCATCTGCAACGCTCAGGCTGTAAGTACAGCTGACTTATGCCATCGCTTATAATACCCATGGGAATGCCGGTCCTTCGCATAGACGAATCCAGTTCCATAACATAATAATTGACCCAGCCTTAATATAAGTTTGATTATCCTTATACATTTGTTAGATAATTGCAATGATATCTTAATGCCCTCACTGATTTCGAGAGCTATTCAAAGTTTACCTCTAGAGATGTTGCAATACTAATAATATTGTGCCCTCTTAGATTCCATTGTATGTCCAATTAGTTCTTTTGCACTCTGGATAATTAACTTCCAAAAACATTATTTCTTTTTCTAGGAAGGTTCCATCGGTTCTCACTTAGTTATCCGACCAATTCCATCGCGCCTTCGTAACAAAGTCAAGACCAATCACAAACTATCTTCTACAGACGACGAAGTCTTCCTTGATGACGATGGAGCTTTAAGTGCAGAAGTTGCTATAGATACAGGTAAACATTTTTTGTTTCTCGTTTTATTTTAAATTTTTTGTGAATCGAATAGAGACAACTAAACTCAAAGAATTTGCTGGAACTATTTCAGGGTTACCTATCAATAGAAACGACTCCGAAGCTCACAATTATGACATGGTGACTGCGCATCATCATATTGTCATTAAGAAGAAAGAAGAGCACGATGACATTATGAGTGATTATGGTAAATTAATATAATATATTATTATCAAAAAGCTTATGATCATTTTCAGCATTTATGGAACCTGATCACCTCGCCAAACGTTACAAACGCAGCGCCACCTCAAAGCAAAGGCAAAAAAGGGAAGCTCCCTACATAATCTATCCGGAAATTCTTGTTATAGTGGACTATGACGGTTATAGGCTGCACAGTGGAGATAATTTACAAATCAAGAGATATTTTATCTCGTTTTGGAATGGGGTAGATTTAAGGTATAAGCTGTTGAAAGGGCCGAAGATTATGGTGTCCATTGCCGGTATAATTATTAGCAGAGTAAGTGCACTGAGGATGGTTCGAGTAATTTTAAGTGTCATCTAGTGGTGCCGCGAGACGAGACTAGACGAGACTTAGGGTTGGTCTCGTCTCGTCTCGACATCTCGAGACGAGACCATGACTTAGTCTCGGTCTTGAGTACCAAAGTCTCGTCTCGTCTCGAGTGGTCTCGTCTGGTCTCGAGTTATACAGGGTGACCAAAAAATAGCGTAAAAACTCTTATCTACGTGGTGGAGGAGCCTACAAGGAATCACAGAAAAATACTTTCAAAAATCTAGTGGCATTCTTAAGAAAGTTATTTGCATTTTAATATTTATTAAAATTGGCAACACTGAAAATATCCCGTTGGCAATATGTCAGAGAATTAAATTAAATACCCATGTAATTACCTGAAGAATTCGAAGGTGAATTTTCACAACTACCTCTTCATATTACCAAGAATAATGCTGGAGAAGGATTTTTCTAATTTAATTATTTTTCTAGGGTTTCTCAAAGGGTCCCCTACTAGGTGGAGAGCTTTTACGCTATTTTTCGGACACCCTGTATTTATGGTTTTTATTTTTATATTATAACGGAAGTCCAAACTGTCACAGTGAAAAAACATAGTGAAAAATCACAGTAAAGAGTAACCGTGATATTTAATTTACTGATTCCATATTCAAATAGCCCAGAATAGTCCAATAATAAAGCTATGAAAGATAAATTTTAAGTGTCATCTGTTCCAATACCAACTTACCTCCCTTTCTAGCTTCTTTTAAATAAATAAATATACTGGGATTACTGGGTTAGTCTTCGAATTTTGTCGCATAACAGCCGATTACCTCAAAAACCGTAAAATTTTATTTAATGAAATTTGGCATACGAGGGTTATTTCTAATTCGAAGGTAAAGGCGATGTTGCTAGGTTTATATTTTTTCCCCTACATCCCTGAACTTCTTTATTTCTGATAAATTCTGACATTTTTTGATCTCTCGCTAAAATCTAGATACATTTCATCTGACATGCCCTACCAACCTTCAAATGTTTGGGGTTATAGAGTTAATCAAAAGTCACGCAACGGCCGATTATTTCAAGGACCAGTTGAAAGTAAATTGATGAACCTCCACTGCAACTGCACCGTCACTAGTTATGCCTGATTTATTGGTGATGCTATACAGGGTCGTTTTCCAGTTGGGGTTTTCCTTTTGAGATGACGAAGAACTTAAAAAAATAAACGAATTTTTCAAATAATAATAAATAATTGTATTAAACAAAGTTTTTACACATGGACTTCTCTGATTTTCGATATTATTTAAAATGACGAGATCTGGTTTTCGAGAAAATGTTTTTTGAATTTGAAATTCTATGCCACACAGTATTAGTAGGAGAGCCAGCGGTTCATCCGACTAACCCGTTTCCCACAAGGCTAGACATTTTTTAAATAATGTTTTAGTATTGGTCGATTAAGAAAGTACCGTTTGGTACCCATGTCATTTTTTTTTACGCTTAAAAATATGTAAATTAAAACATAAAAATTGTAGCCTTGTGGGAGTGAGTTTTTTTTGAAAAAAAAATTACATTTTCAAAAATTTGAGGGATGCTGACAGTGATGCTGACGCAACCACGAGATGCCTGCCAGAACGGTACTTTCTTAATCGAACGATACTAAAACATTATTTAAAAAATTTCTAGCTTTGTGGGAAACGGGTTAGTTGGATGAACCGCTAGCTCTTAGACTATATACAGAGTGGTCCATTGAAAAGTATCCACCTAGATTTACTGGTTTTTGTGAAATTTAAGAAAAAGATGCTCGGGCACGTGTATTTTGTTTCGGAGGGGGAAATATTATCTGCATATTTTTAGCCCTGTCACTTTCAACCCCTAACGGGGGTGGGCTCCAACCCCTTAATCTTTAATGGAAAGATGGGTCGAGTGATAGCTCGTTTGAAAGGGCACGAAATTAGCTTTCCAATGGTACCCCTGTTTGTCGGATTTTCCTTCGACAGTTAACGCGAAAACGACGCTAAGAGCCTCACTCCTGTATTTTTGGAATCAATAAAATGAAGGACTTAAATTTCAGTTATCGCGATTCAAAAGAGCTACAATCATAATTCAAATTACTTATTTAAGTAAAAACTCATTGTTTTGTTTTGTTATCTTTTATCAGAATAAAATGCATTCATTTATTGTGTGCGTTTTTTTTTGTAAAAATAAGTAAGCAGATACACACTTGGTAAATGAAGGAAAAGAATTTAGGTTTATTCCGTTCATTGATTTAGTTTGGTTGATTTCGAGACGATCTAAATTTTACTGACAAAAATGATTCATTCCATTGCAGAACGAGTGGAAATTATCAAGCTTTATTTTCAAAATAATAGTTGTGCTAGGCTTACTGCTCGTTTCTTTAATGACGCTCATCCCAACGAAGATGTCAATCATTCGTATGTGGCGAAATTAGTGCAAAAGTTTACCGATACTGGATCTGTTGCTAATGTGAAACGCCAGCCGCAACACAACAGAAATGAAGCTGTAAAGTAGCTGTTTTGGGACATGTGGCATTGGATCATACCCAAAGTACCCGTCAACTGGCTCAAGTCTCAGGTGTCCCCCGTTCGTCCCTATTAAGGATTTTAAAAGTGCACAAATTTCATCCATACAAAACTAGATTAGTACAGGAACTTAATGAGGATGATCCTGATAGAAGGATGCAGTTTTGTGAAGAAATGAGTCAGCGTTTAATGCAAGAACCGGACTTATTATTTAACATTTGCTTCTCTGATGAGTGTACATTTTATTTAAATGGTACATTCAATAGACATAATTGCCGTTACTGGGATGATAGTAACCCACATATAAACGTGTGGTGTGGCATCTTAGGAAATCATATTGTAGGACCACTTTTTATCCCTGGTAATTTAACTGGCGAAGTGTACCTAAACCTGCTTGAGGATGCAATTGACCTTTTGATAACAGAAATAAATAGAAGATGACCTAAATCATAATGTTGATCGGCTTCATTTCCAACAAGATGGAGCGCCTCCGCATTACATTGCTGCTGTTAGAGATTTTTTAAATTTACGTTTCCCTGGACGGTGGATTGGAAGAAGAGGCGCAATTGAATGGCCTGCCAGGTCACCCGATTTATCGCCTTTAGACTATTTTTTGTGGGGACACTTGAAAAATAAATGTTTTGCCACGCAACCCGATTCTATAGAAGATCTTCGCCAGCGAATAATAGCTGGGTGCAGAAGCATAACACCTGATGGGCTGCAAAATGTCCGAAACAGATTTGAACAAAATTTATATTATTGTATGGAAGTAAATGGGTCACATTATCAAAACTTGTTAAATTAACGTTATACTAAAAAAATTAACAGTTTTCGAGAACATCGTATTCTTAAATAACTGACCATGATTGAAAGCTAATAAAGAGAATTCATCAAATAAATATTGTTACCAGTTATTTTGTCTCGAAATAAGTGAAATTTAAGTCCTTTGTTTTATTGATTCCAAAAATACAGGGGTGAGGCTCTTAGCGTCGTTTTCGCATTAACTGTCGAAGTAAAATCCGACAAACAGGGTACCATTGGAAAGCTAATTTCGTGCCCTTTCAATCGAGCTATCACTCGACCCATCGTTCCATTAAAGATTAAGGGGTTGGAGTCCACCCCCGTTAGGGGTTGAAGGTTACAGGGCTAAAAATATGCAGAGAATATTTCCCCCTCCGAAACAAAATACACGTGTCCGAGCATTTTTTTCTTAAATTTCACAAAAACCGGTAAATCTAGGTGGATACTTTTCAATGGACCACTCTGTATATAATATTTGTTAATTTGGTGAATGGTTAACATCACGTGAGTCTTTCTACATAGTTGGTAATTCATTTCTGAAAAAAATATTGATGTAGTTTTCTTCTTATCGCATTGTTGTCAAAATCATCCACCAAATCTATTGTTTTTTTACGATTTTGGTTTATTTTAGGTTCGGAAAAAGCGTGGTACGTTCCATACTCTTTAAGCATTCGGTAGACGCTACGAGGACCAACTCCTGTCATGTTCAGTTTCGTATACGCGCCCTGTACATAGTTGTAGGTTAGATTGGGTATTTAGGATGTTAAATCTTATTTGGGAATGGAAATTGATTCGTTTTTCTTTATTTTTTGTTTTCTCTTATACTAATTGAATTGCGCGTGCTCTATGCCTAAGAATGATACGGCTTTGCTAAATTTGGCTTTTAAAAATGCGCGCGTTAAACACTGAAAAGGATACCGGCAAGTCCTGACACTTCCTGCCGACAAGCAGTACCAGTTGCCAAAAACACTTCGCTCGCTTTGTGTGGATCGAGAGAATGGACCCGCGGTTTTTCGTTTGCTGCAACCGGTTGAATCAAGACGGTTTCGTTACACTCCTACGCATGGGACCTGAACTTCCTGAATGAGCTGGCCAGCTGAGTGGAGTTTGAAAGTAGAGCAAGGTGAGATGAAAAAATATCCTTTTCAGTTTCGATATCTTTCAATTTCATATTGAAATCTTTTATCGATTACCATTCTATCAGCAACCTGTGGATCACCAGTTTCAATTTCGCACATTAATTTGATCCATCATCGCCGGATGTAATTCTTAGGCGTAGATTCTTATAAAAAATTTAAAAATTCAATAAAATAAATCGTATTTGAAAGGCAGCATATTGCAAACCTCAACGAGTTTGTAAGTACCAAAGATATTTTGGTGTGACAAAAAAAAAACGGATTAACATTCCAAACCAGTTTGGTACTGAATGCACCATACTTTTTTCATTTCATTTGGCGTTAAACTTGTCTCATTAGAAATAATTCGAAAGGGATAAGTGAAAGTTCGTTAAATATTATTTATAAAAGGACATCCACCTAATTCTAATATGTCGGGATAATTTTTTACAAGAATAGAAAGAGTTAAGTTTTCACATTTTATGACCTTACCCAGTTTCCATGCTAAGAAAATTCGTTCACAAAGAGCGGCAAAAATTGCGGTTTCTCTCGTAAT